ATCATTGTGTTATTCCATTACAGTACATAGAAATGCACAAATTACAAGTCCAGAATAGGACGCAATTCACTTTCATTCCATCTCATTTCATTCAGGTTACAAAATTATACAAGTGGCAACAAATGCCTAATAGAGAAACAAAGCTTACCTGGTCTTGTCTCCTCTCCACACTTCCTCTTCCCTACCAATAAAACCCGCCTGAACACCAACAAATTGGTCAGCAAAGTGCATCTTCATGGCTGCGACCGGATCTGACACTACAGTGTTGTCCCCAACTCCACCTACCAAACCTTGACCCACATTCATGTTCATGCTCATCCCCCTCTTCTTATTAGCCATAGAGCCCTGAAACACACCGCTGCTTCGTTTTTGTAGCTCCGACAAAATAGTAAAGGGTTGCATGGCCACCGAGTCATAGCCCCCCTTATACAATTGATGGTGAAACTCAGCAGCTGCATTCAACTCTTTTTTGGATACAAGCCCACCACCCCTACCTGACGAATCATTCCTATTGACAACCATTGCTGATGTAAAAATGGGCGGTTGCTGCTGGTCATCCAGAGCCACCAGGTACTTCGAGGAGAGCATGCTGATGCCTGATTCAGGAGGCGATGGTGGTGGCACCTTGGCACCCCCCAACCTCGATGATGATGACTCAACCATGCCGGAGAAACCACAACTGCTGTTGTGCTTTGTGCTACTATTAAAATGAGACAGCCCAATCCCATTTTCATGAGCGCGAGGAACAAGAGATTCCGCTGATTTTGAGCCCGCACTCTCGGGAGATGATGACTGTTGTGAGGGGACAAGTATATTCTTTCCAAAGAGTTTCAAATCTCCACTCCGAACCAAATCTTCTCCAGACTCGCCGGAAGAATGTGCTTGCTTGCCTGCCACTTTGGGAGGGCATGTCAACAAGTGTTGTGACCCGCAAGAAGGCACCTCACGATTTGGACGCAAGAACAATGTGTCACTGCTGCTGCCATTGCTTTGCCTCTTGTGATATTGCTGCTGCTGTTGGGGATTGGGAAGTTGAGTCACAGTCCTATCGGTGAATGACAATGAGATCGACGAGCCATTCTCCTTCCTCACTGATTGCAGCGATGGTTGGTCACAGCGTAGGATCAACTGCTTTGGCTTCTTGCTATCTAGGGCCACCATAGAAGAAGCAATGTCGCCATTGCTAGTGACCTGCAGCAGAGGATGGCCTCTGAGGATCATGTGCATTGATGGAGAATCAAGCTGCTGATGATAGGAAGGGGAGCGTTGTTGGTGCTGCTTGTAAAAATCCAGAGACCCCATACCTGCAACTACTGGCTGCTGCTGAACCCTGTCTGATGCATCCTGCTGCTGACGGTGCTGCTGCTTGCTTCCAGCCCCATTCCCACTAGTAGCGGGCAGCCCCTGACAGTTACTATTTTGAGTAGGTGCACGATTGTGGTCCTTCGCCACCGAAATCGCATTACCACCACTAAACCCAGATAGAGAAAAATTCTCCTGCTGCCACGAGATGATCTGAGTCTTGGGCTGTTTTAGATGAGGAAGAGATGTCACTCCCACCTTGAAGATCCCATCATCCAAAACATGGTGTCCGGAGACTGGACCAGAACCAAAAGGAGCAGTGGTTTCTGTGTCGTGTAAGACATTAGAGCAATGCCAGCCAGAGATACTACCGCTGCAGGTTTGCATGTCTGCAACATCACCGCAACTTGAAACACATTTCTTCATATCCCCCACTGGTTGTTCCACAGGAGGCATGGCAGATACCATATAACTCATTGATGGACTACTCTGTCGCAGAGGCGAGTCATCGGTCTTAAGGCCAGAAGGCTTGCATCCATCAAAGTCAATTTTCTGCTTTAGGTCGACGCCTCCATTAGATCCAGATGGGGAGCTCATCATGCAGCTGGATTCTTTGTAACCAACACCAGCACCCAGCTGTGCATCTGAATCACACGCTTCCTCCTCGTGATCAGTTTCTCTCCATTCAGCCTCATCATCAACAGATCGGCCGCCAAGATCTTCATCTTCAGAGTGTTGCTGTGGAGCAGAATGAGAAAAACCCACTTCCTCATTCTTCTGTTCATTTGCAAGACTCACATTCAATTGTTCTTCATCTCCCTTGATAACCAACCCTTCATCCTGATCTGCAAATACTGACTCAACCTGAGATTTATCCAGCACAGTATTCTGCTTTTCCACCACTTCTTCGGCATCATGCTCAGATTGACCCATCTCACTCACTGATGTGGCCTCATACAAAGTCTTGAGCCGAGGAAGGGTGGGTTCCAAGTCCATATCCATGTCCATCTTGGAACATGAACGAGCACTGCCAAGAGCTGAGTCCATCTCGACAGCACAGGTGGTGACACCATCTGTGTCACTGCTGTGCCCCTCTTCCTCCTCTTCATCAGCATCACTTCCTTCATTCCCCAAGCCCACTGGGCAAATCACATCAAGACCAAGGCACTTCCGAGCTTTGCTGAAGAAGATGCGGCACTGATCTCTTGATCTTGAACCCACACAGTGCGAGACACTCGTGAAATCCTTTCCATAAGTTCTCACGGCCGTCACGAAGACCGCCTTCTCCTCATCCGTCCAGTCAAGTTCAATGCAGCTATCCTCAGAGCAAGTGTCTTCCACCTCCTCCTCAATGCTGTTCTGCACTATGAGATCAGCAGTAGTAGTAACAGGTGTTAGAGGCCGTTCTGCTGTTCTAAGAGGAAATCTCCTCTCATGACCACCAGGGGTGACTGAATTGGTGATGCAAGACCTCATGGCCTCTGAGGATAGAGCACAACAGATCCCAGCCAATAAATCTGTGGCAGGCGATTCCCTTTCATTTTTGCTCACAGCCCCCACATCGCCACTCCTTTCTAACAACTTGTCATCTGGCCTGAGTATTTTAGAGGAGCTGTAATAGCTGCCCATAATTGATCTCCCCAAATGTTTGTGCCTACTGCTGCTGCTTGTGTTCTTGCCGTCATCAGCACAAGCTGCTACAATTGAAGCTGCCCCCAATACGTCTAGAGAAGCTGCATTTGCCTCATTATGCCACTTCTTCCCCGATGTTACAAGATAGGTATTGGTTAAGAAGCTCCTATCTTGCTTCTTCAGCTCCAACCTCTTCTTTATCTTCTCAAAACTTTCAGACTTCTGGTTCTTATAATAGAACTCAACACAATCTGCCGTTGTCTTGTGTTCCAAGAAGGAAGCAATCTTGGAGAAATCCTTTCCAAACATGGCCAGCATCTCCATAAAAACTTCCTTCTCCTTCGCAGTCCATGGGTTTATTGTGGCCCTTTCCTTCTCCACTGCTATGGGATCTTCAACCAACCCATTCCAAGAAACAAATCTGGAGTATCGCTTCTCTTTCTCATCCATAAACAGTGCCGGCATCTTCAGATTGTTCCTGTACTTCTTTATCAGAAAATCAGACAAGAGCCTGCTTGTAAAATCTACCACCTCCGATGTTGGAACCAGGGTCAAATTACCTGCTGAAATGCCACCAGAGGTGAATTTGAGAGAAAACATAGTTTACAGCATTTTAAATGATTATTTCCAAGACAAGATAACAAGATGAATTATAAAAGACAAAAAGATGCACCATTGCAGTAGATAACCAGCAACTGCTAAAACAAGAATAATTCTCAATGTACAAGGTAGGCTGACAAATCTAACAGGTATAAAAGCCCAAGCATGATAAATACATAAAAAAGATATTTCCTTGTACTTCAATAAAGTCGAGCAAGTACAAGTCAATATCTAATAGTATAATCACAATACACAATAAAACAAATCAATATAGAACTCTTTATCAAAATGAGTGCATTGATGAAATGGAGAGATGAAACAACAGAGCTGCATATTAAATTGTCAATATCATATATATATATATATATATATATATATATATATATTCATTTTTTTATAGTATCTATAGAAATTCTCAACCCAAATTTATGACACTCCATGAGATAGCTGACATCCTAAACATATTTCATCAAGGCAGCCAGCCCAACGGCTGCTGCTATCCAGCTTTGCCACTTCCATAGCATCATATTCATCACCGTTATGGAGTTTAAAACCATTAACTAGAAGCATGAATTCTCATGCCAAGCAATCTGCACAAATGTCGAGTACGTTCAATGTTCTCTCATATGCACAGCACAAGAAAAATTCACACCAATCACTAAATCCAACAATTTGAAACTTCAGAAGAAATTTTAATCACCATGACATCAGAACCCCATTAGGACAAAGAGACTCCAAACCACTCACTACAAAGCCTATTCTCAATCAAGTATGGGAATCTCACGTTCATATATGGAGCCATTTTAAGAAATTATCAGGACCTTTAGGCAACTGCAATAACACATAAATGTGGATCGTTCTCATCAAGATAATCTGTAAAAGACTTCTGTGACTTTTGGTGTCCACTTGTGTGAATAAAGGTGACTACCTGAACACTCTCTGACATGTTCACTGAGACTTGACTGTCGTCACTCAGCACATTAAAAACCTTTAGACCAGCACAAACTGTGTTAGCGGTCTTTTCTCTCAAGTTCCTCATCCAGAACAGAACCAGGCAAATTCCTTGACAAGGGAGAGAACTAGGACTCCCTCTCTGGCAGTTGAAGAGACTCCCCCTTTGTATCATGAATTTCATGATTAAAATCTTGTTGTAGATCTAAAAACTCAAATTGTTTTCTGATACAAATAATGCTGACAGTGAACTATTTTAATAAACAACCACCTACTAAACCTACAACAAATAACAGACTAGCAACTTCTCCATGATATTAAAATAAAGGGCGTGGTTTGTATTAGGTGTCAGTCAATCTTCAACAATCCAAGTAAGGTGCACCTCTAAATTATGCTAAAAGAATTGTTTCTGGTGACAGAAAACTTTGAGATGGCCTAAAAAAATGTTTTTGCCCCTAATCGGGAAATTTAAAGCTCTAAAAAAGTGCAAATCAAATAAATCTACAAACACTTGAAAATGGACAGTCCATATAGTGTGCTACACGATACACCATATTCAAGACTTGAAATACACTTCTTCCTTTTTTTCCATATCCACACATAACGAGGTCAAGATGAGGATATTGAGATGGATGAGTAGCACAAGAACAAATGAATACATTCAAGGGAACTTAGGTGCGGCTTCAATAAGCGATAAGATGAGGGAAGTAGACTTAGATGGGCTGGTCATCCGTAGGATAGGCCAAATAAAGCATTGGTTAGTAAGTGCGATTTGGTTCAGGTGGATGGCTCTAAAAGAAGGGGAAGGACCAAAAGAACATAGATAGAAGTAATAAGAAAATATATAGTGACTTATGGTCTTACTGAAGGTATGGCCCTTGATAGAGCAAAATAGAGGAACAAGATTTGTGCAGTCGACCCCTAATATAAGGCTCAGATGATGATAAAGGGTGAGAGAATATACCCTCTCTCTAAGTCTGCAGGGGAGTCTACCCCAAAAAATCTTTTCACAAGACCCAAATTCTTTACTCAAATCCCCAAATTCTTTACTCAAATCCCTAAATTCTCTCCCTTTCAAAGAATGGACATCTCCTTTTAAAAACACTTAAAAGAAATAAATAAATAAATAAACCCACAGAAATAGTCTCTCTCAAACCTTATCAAACCACCTCAAGTAAGCCTTATCCTAACTAAACCTAATTAACATTTATCTCTTTAAGACCAACTTAATCCTTTGCCTAATATTAAAACCAACCATATCCCCAAAACAACTCACACACTACCCTATTCACTAAAACAAAAATTAATCCA